AGTGTACCTGATCCAAGTTATGGTATTTTCAATAGCCTCATATACATTTGAAAGTTGGACATTGAATAATAAAGATCAAAGAAGAATCAGTGCACTTGAATTGTGGTGCTGGGGAAGTACCATGGACTGCCAAGAGGACAGACAAATGTGTCTTGGAAGAGAAGTGCTCCTTAGAGGTGAGGATGGTGAGATGGTCTTATGTCTTTGGATATATTGTCAGGAGAGACCACTCCCTGGAGAAGGGCATCATGTTTGGAAAGGAGAGGTCAGTGAAAGAGAAAGACCCTCAAGGAGATGGATTCACAAAGTGGCTGCAGCAATGGGCTCAAGCCTAGGAACATTTATAAGGGTGGCGCAGGACTCTGCAGAGTCTCTGTTGTGCATGGGGTCCCTAGGGATTTGAACCGACTCGATGGTACCTAACAACAAAAACAACTAAAGAAGAACAAACAGTAGGCTCACTTCCTACAAAGTAGTAGATCACATCCTGATCTCAACACCTACTTATTACACAGCTATGTTAGTCCAATGGAGCAGATTGGAGAACCCAGACTAAAGACTCTGTTCTTGATGTTCTCAGCTTGAAGATGGGACATACTCAGTATCGAATTTTGGCTTTCGTTGACTTCTTTTCATTTTCTTCAGTTTCGACTTGAACTTGTAAGTAAGCATTTGATGGCCTGTTCCTCACTCAACCTCTGGCCTCATTTAAGCTACAGATATTGAGCTTCTCACCTTTTCTTCTCACAGATGTAGTTAATTTGATTTCTGTATATTTCACCTTGAGAAGTCCATATGTATAATTTCTGTTTGTGTTATTGAAAAAAGATGTTAGCAATGAAGAAGACAATCTCTAGCTTTATAACTAAGCCTGTGTTTTCAAAGGACTGTTCTTTCATTTATTTTCCCCAACTTTTGCAATAATTATCAATGCATCATAATTACATAGTTGATCAATTTAAGATTGAGGATTGGTAAAATTCTTCAGTTCATTAGTTTTAGTGTTAAGTAAATAAATTTGAATAATAGTTGAATTGACTGGATTTCCTCGTATGCGGATAGATATTATCTTATCATAGCTGACATTGTACTTAAAAATATAGCTTGAAATGCCTTTTTTGACAATGACAATGAATATGACTCCATTCCTCTTGAATCAGATTTTCATATAAAAAGAAATTTTGATTACTGGGGATTGAGAACAGGAAGCAGTCGTCTAGTCTTTAGAGGGTAGACAAGTTAACACTTGGTTAACCCCCTTGCTTAACACGTGGGTGAAGGGGAAGATATAATGCAAGAGGAGATGGGAAAGTAAACAGGTCAAGC